ATTTTTAAAATTATTAACCGGGCGGCCATGACACTAGAGGTACATGCCAAGTAGTTTCTACGCAAAAATAATTTGTTTGTTGCTGAACTTTGCAACAAACTTTACTGACTATTGGTGTAAAGACTGGAACGGGATACAAGTTGATTTGAATTAAGTCTTTTAGATACCTAGGTGTACCTTCCCTTAGAAGGTTCTCTAAACTCTGTTGGGTATTTCTCAATGTAATGATGGGAATCCAGATTAAAATTCCTTAGCAATGGAGTCAATGAAGTCTTCCCTTGATTGAACCAGGTCAATACTCTACGGTGGTGGCGTAGTCGAGGGTGGATGTGTAGTTTGCATAGTATACCCGTTCGGGTGAGGTGGTATATCTGCGTCCCATTTTGATGGGTCAGATTAACTCTATACCTTCCCTTAGAGGACATTTATCCGCTGGTAGGGAATTTTAATTACTTCGTTGCGGAGGACGTTATTAATTCACGAGACCTTAACGACCTTAAAGGCAGACCAATTCGCGTTAATGCGTTCGGAAAAGATAGTTCGCGTAATGGTAACGAGGTGTCCGTGAATTTGCATGAACCAGGAATTCGCGTACAAGATTGCTTAACGTCGCTGGTTGCAATTAGGAGCATAAGACCATCGGGATCCAACAGCTGCGTATTTAATTCCAACGGGATAATTTAACGACTGTTATCCCACGAACGTCATTGGTCAAATTAACCGACTCCCCGGAATCGCAGACTACTCGTCATTTACATGATAAGAAGAATCAATGAGGAAAAGGCGGATATGCGGGTTGTTGCTTCTGGTTTTTACTCGCGGACCGTGAGAATGCATCGAAGAATTCGCGAAACAAGAAACAAACGACATCGTTGCATAATTGGCCGAGTAGAATTTATTTGGCCGCAGGCACTGAACGTGTTTATTTAAGTGCTGTATTATATCTTGTAAGTGATGCGCCGGATGATCCATTAAGCAGTTAAGACACCATAAAGCTACTACATAAATTTCTTTTCCTTCGAGTGTTTTCATACGTACGTACGTGCTCCAAGTCCGGAAGCGTTTATGGAACCCGTATGAATTCTTAGAATGATATGTGGGACTTACGTGGGACGATATCGTCTTTCTTCTTCTGTATCTTATCTACCATGCATGGAATATGGAAAACTGTCAGCTACTTATGGGTGAGGGTGTTACTTAATGCCGCGTTACTATTTCACTCTTTCTATTTCTTTACGCCATTGTACGTTTCAATAGTTCATTATTCCTGCACCACTACTTTCCTCTTAACTAGTAGTTCCAATTTTACCTGAAATTATAACCTGCTACAGTTATGTGTTTACCCATACATTGTTGAACTATCAGAAAATAGGGTTAAATTTCAGGTACCGATCAAATGCAACCTTTTAGCCAAGCTCTAATTTCGCGATCGGACTGGAAGAAAATGTTAGTGGTCGATAGGTATTGTTTTTGCCGAAAGGTCGCCGTTGCAGAAGAGATCGGTGCACCAAACGGGTAATATACCGTTCGGCGTGTTTACACGCAGGCACGAAAATTGTGGGGAAAATGACGGTGGTAGGCGGGCCTGGCCGGTCGAGGC